CCGCTGCAGATCTGGTATTTCCATGTGAATCTAGTTGGATTCCTGGAATCAACTGGAATTCAGTCTAGTTTGCAATGGAAGTACGGTGGAATCCCATAAGACTGTGGGACCCAGCAGGTTCTCACACTTTCAATCTGTTACATACTCAACATCTGGCAATTCATCAAAATTATCATTTAAGTTTTCCCACCAGTTTAAGGCTCCAGTAGTTTCTGCTCCAAACAAATGGATTTCAGCTATTTCTGGGTATGCCTGTATCACCAGATTACAGTGTTGTGACCTCAGTTCTCAGAAACATAGAAGTGACTGGGGACACACGGATGCCAGTGATGGGAACATGAGGATAAAGGAATAATTCTATAAAATGGGCCCACTGTGCTGACCCCCACATGCTTTCTTTTCCAAGAAACAGTTTACCTGAAGCTCTACCTGGCTTAAGTGGACAGGATATGTCACATTCCTCAACAAACTATCTGTTATCTGCAGGAGAAATGCAGGCCTGAAATAATGTCGCAATTTACCTGCGGCCCTTCCTGGATTTAAGAATTTATGGTTAAATATCCAAGTTAGAACTGTCAGCATGGGCCAAGGTGACCTAGAGTTGTCATGGCAGTGGGGACTTGAAAGTCTGATGTCAATCTGTTGTCAGTCAAAAGTCAAGAGATGGACTTTGGCGGGACTCTCTGGAAACTTCTGTGGAATCACAAATAAAACTGAAGTACAGGAGAGGCACACTGTTCCCCTTTCCCTTGAGGATGTCCCCTTTCCTAGTCCTAATAAACTCACTGCCTGTTACTCTGAGCAACATGTCTAAAATCTTTCTGATTTGATCACAAGAGTCAGTGCTTCAAAGTGGGGATGTCTTCATGTGGCTTCAGTTTTTTAGAAGGTCCCATTCCTGTAACAGAAAGAAACTGTCATTGATTTTCAGTTTGACCAAATTTTTTCTGTTGTAAGGAGGAGCAATGACTTCCAAGATGTTTACATATCAGGGCTGAAACTCTAAGTCCCAATAAGTTTGGAATCAAGGAATTCTGAATGGCAACATAATAACAAAAATCCTTGTAACTGCTCAGTTTAAATGCTGAAGGAAACAAATTCCAGATGATTAGTCCAGTGTTAATAGAAGGCTAACAGGTGTCTGTGTAGCATTATGCAGAAATGCAGAATACAGGAAGGACAGCCAACACCTTTCACAGAATCTTTTATACTTTGCTTTAATTTTGAATAAAAATTGTTTGCACTTTTATGCATTTACCTAAATTTGTTCTCAACCAAAGTGGTACAATTTTACTTCACTCAACTCAATTAAATGAGTTTTGAAAAAAATTTTGTATTGTTTCTGAGGTCTCATCTGGAAGGAATAAAATAGCCTCCCAAGCAAGATTTTTCAGGAGTAAAGCATCACTCAGAGGGATTTTTCCCCTTATTTTTCCCCTCATGGGGCTATTTGTAAAAAAGATGAGGCATTTTAAATCCTTAATAATCTCAATAATAGTAAGAAGAGCTATTACATTTTATTATTGCAGATTTTTTTTCTGGCACTTGAAAATTTGTTTGCAGTTTCAAAATCAGAGAATACCTTTGGTATGTTCAGCTGGTCATTTGTCCTGGAAAGATTGAGGAGATGAAATATAGTGTGAAAGGTCATTACAACTTCTGCTGTGATTATTTTATTTTCATCCGAATTTTTTAAATCAGGAAATTTGTTACATTATCCATTTCTACAGGACAAGTTGAGGAAATCATATACCTCTTAGCTTAGCTATTAGTGTATGCTGGAGTATACATCTGACTAGTCATTGTTTTTGATTCTAAATAACCAACTGCATATTGAAGAGCTTCAAAGAATTTTCCCTTCATTTAACAGAAACCCAAAGTTTTTAAAATTAATAAAAAATTTGCACTTGAATTTGGGATCCAAATATACATAAATAAAAATAGATAATAGGGTAGATGTCAAGTTAAGTGTTCTTACCAAAAAATATAAAATAGATTATAGCAATCATTGCAAGAATTTAAAATACTGAATTTAACAGTCTCATTCATGAGGCTAACAGTAAATTAACAGTAAGTTGAACTGTTGAAATGGTTGAGACTTGCAAACTCAACTATAAATTAAACTTGATAGGCAGAAAAGGTGAACTTCACGTGTTCCTGCAAGGGAGAGTTGCACTTGCAAGAACAGTCTCCCTGAAGAAAGCCAAAGCTGATCTTATCCAAGGTTCCTGAAGTTCATTGTCCAGGATTGGTGGATTTTTAGAAGCAGGAGCGTTTATGAATAGACAGATTTTTCAACTGTTTAATGTGGTCACTAGAATAGGCTATTGACTAGTGTCCTTTCAGGAACATGGTTTCTGAAGTGAGGTCCTTGCTGATTGTTGACCAGAAGCATGAAACTGATGATGGTCTTTCAGAAGCTAGAGGTTGGCATTAACTTCCTAACTTTCAGAAGGAGGTCCACTGGAATGAGGCTGGCCCTCGTTTTGGAGCGTGTGTGCTGTTTGGACATCTAATTATAAATAATTATTTGTTTACAACTTGGAACTTTGGCCAAAACTTATCCTTTCTTTAAGATGGAAAACAAGTACTTTCAATTCTCAGTTCTCTTTCACCATAAAGGATTGCTCAGATCACTTTGTAGAGGTGATTTCGGCTTGTGTTGCTACTTGGGTGATTTAAATGACAATTACAGAGGCAGAAAAATAGCTCTAACTGCTGATTTTTTACTAATTGGAAGAAAATTTTTGAATACATTGCGGGTGTCCTGACAGTACAGGATTCAAGACGTAATCATTAAATATAGGACATCTGTCTAGCAGCCTTATCTGTGGGCCAGATTAGCTTTCTTGTCACTCAACACCCTCTCCTATTTGCCTGGGAAAACCCTGTTTATTCTAATAAATGATTATTTGTCTCCTATTCTTCATCCATGCAGCACTTGCTTGAATTTGTATTCTCATTCATTTATCACTTGAATCACAATAGTCTAAATTTCTAGGCATCAGTCTATCTAGCTTTCTTTAACCTCCTCCTAAATTGATCCTCTATATATTGTTGCTGAACAAATTCCCTTGCTTGATATTAATATAATTTTCTTTATTTATTTTTGGTACCGGGATTGAACCCAGAGGGGCTTTACCACTGAGCCACATCTTCATCTCTTTTTAAAAATTTGAGACACAGTCTTGCTAAGTTGCTTAGAGCCTTTCTAAATTATTGAGGCTGGCTTTGAACTTGTGATCCTCCTGTCTCAGCCTCCAGAGTCACTGGGATTCCAGGCATGCCCCACACATTTGGCTAATATTAATTATAGGATAAAACACAAGTTCCTTACCATGACAAATGAAGCCTTTTGTTATGTGGCCTCTGCCTTCTCCTCAGGCTTTAACATCTTTTATTCTTCTGCTCACTAGCTCTACACTCAAGTTTCCTAATGTGCCATATTACTCACCTGTAGTCTTGCATATGTAGTTTACTTATTTGAAATGCACTTTAGCAAGAGTTTTTATCATTCCAAAATTTGGCTCAGGCCTTTATTGCCTCTACAAAGCTTTCTTTGATATCTCCAGGTCCCCTACAGCTCTTTTTTCATCCGGTGCAAAATTTTACAACATTCTTGCACTGCAACATATTGTCATATTAAACTGTTTTGTCTGTTAAAACAAGCAGTTATATACTGAGAGATATTTCCATATTCCTTTGGTAGTCCCTCAACTCCTTTCTCTTCCCCTACTCCATGGTTTCTTGAAAGATGGTCTGTGTCTTTCTTCTTAAAATTTGCAATGTGTAGTATAGTACACATCTCGAAGCAGTGATAAAAAAACAATACTGAGTTGCAGGATAGAGCTCGGTAGTATATAATGCTTGCCTAGCATGCAGGAGGCCCTAGGTTTGATCATTAGCATTTGGAGGGAAAAACACCAAGTTTATAAAGTAATTAATGTCAGTCTATTTGGGCTGCTATAACAAAATATCCAAGACTGGGTAACTTTTAACAATAGAAACTTCTCACAGTTGAGGCTGGGAAGTCCAGGATTAAGGTGCTAGTGGGTTGTCTGGTGAGGGTCATCTGGTTCAAAGATGGCATCCTCTGATTAAAGGGCTGAGCAAGTTACACCAGGGTTGTATTTTTTTTGGTACTGTTGATTGAACCCAGGAGTGCTTAACCACTGAGCTACGTACTCAACCTTTTTTCAAAAAACTTTATTTTGAGACAGGTCTTTCTAAGTTACTTAGGGCCTGGCTAAGTTGCTGAAGCTGGCTTTGAACTGGTGATCCTCCGGCCTTCAGCCTCCCAAACTGCTGAGATTTCAGATGAGGGCCACCTCACCAGGTCTGGGACTATCTTATTAGGGCACAAATCCCATTCACAAGGACTCCACTATCATGATTTAATCACTTCCCCAAAGGCCCTACTTCTTAATATAACCTCAGAGGTTAGAATTTCAACATAAGAATATTTTGAGAAACAGCATTCACACCACAGAAACATTTTTCGAGATTTTGAGTTGCTTAGAGCCTTGCTAAACTACTGAGGCTGACTAAATTTTATTTTATTTTTTTAGTGAAAAAAACCTCACAGTAGCTTTAAAATTGAAATAGTTTCCTATTTTGTATTTAATACCCCTAGGTGACAGCTCACAAGATATTAGTGGTATACTTTCATAATAAATGATTTCAAAACAATAATTTTTTTTAAAACAAAAATTAGGTGGAAATTTTCAATTCACAGTAATTACTAGAGACCAGATTTTTCTTTCTCTTCTTTAATAAAATCTTTCTTTAAAAAAATTTTTTTAGTTATACATGGACACAATATCTTTATTTTGTTTATTTATTTTTATGTGGTGCTGAGGATCAAACCCAGGGTCTCTCACGTGCGAGGCGAGTGCTCTACCACTACGCCACAATCCCAGCCCCTGAAATCTTTTTTATTTTAAATGAAATCCATGCGCCAATTTTGACATTAAGACAAGAAAAGGATAAACCCCAGAGACTGAGAGGTAGTTTACAGTTTATTTTAATCTTTTATTTTGGTCCTTTTCATTAAAAATGTATAATTTCTTTGATTCATTCACTCATATGCTACTAAAATGTTATAAAAAATATCACCAGTGTAGAGTTTGGTGTTTTTATGAGAAAACCAGAGAAATCCCTACCCACTTGATGTTTATGATGATCACATGTGATAGCTAGACTACACTGCTGTAGGAAAGAGGAAAATCAAACACCTTTTATTTTACAAATGCCCAAAGTTAGTGTCTCCACTTATGAATTCTCAGGTTATTTTAAAAAGTGACAGGCATGAATGCTTTCCTTTTAGCTATTACATAATCAAGATTGTCCATGGGATTTGATAGCTAATGGGCACTAAATGATTATAGGCTTTTTCAATATCTATTACATCACTCTTGAAGTATGTGTTCTCTGATGAGCTTTGGTTTAAGGCTTTTACACATGCAAATCTACTTTCTAGGGTTCTTCTTCCATATGGATTTTATAGTGATTAGTAAGGGATGACCTGTGGTTGAAAAGTTTCCCACATGTGTTGCACTCATAGGGTTTCTCCCCTGTATGAATTCTCTGGTGTGCAATACGTGAGGAGCTTTGTCTAAAAGTTTTCCCACAAGTATTACATTTAAAGGGTTTCTCTCCTGTATGAATCCTTCGATGTTGAATAAGGGCTGAACTTTGGCCAAATGACATCCCACATTCCCCACATCGATAGGGTTTCTCTCCAGTATGGATTCTCTGATGATTACTAAGGGATGAGTTACACCTGAATGTTTTCCCACACTCATTGCATTTGTAGGGTCTTTCTCCAGTGTGCATTCTCTGATGCTGAATGAGAGCTGAACTCTGCCTGAAGGCTTTCCCACACACTTTACATTTACATGGTTTCTCTCCGGTGTGAATTCTCTCATGAATGATAAGAGTTGAATGGGAACTTAAGGCCTTGCCACATTCATTACAATTATAAAACTTCTCACCAGTATGAATTATTCGATGTCTATTGAGTCGTGAAATAGAAGTGAAGCCTTTTCCACATTCATTACATCGATAGGGCTTTTCACCAGTGTGAATTCGTTCATGTTGAATAAGTGATGCACTCTGACTAAAGGCTCTCCCACATTCACCACATTTGAAAGGTTTCTCTCCGGTGTGAATTCTCTGATGATAACGAAGGGATGAACTAGATTTAAAGGTGTTGCCACATTCATTACACAAATAGGACTTCTTTCTGGGATGAACTCTTTGACCAGGAAGGGATGTGTTGCAACCAGATGCTTTCCTACCTGGATTATATTTATAAGGGTTTTCTCCAGCATGGATTTTCTGATGTATAAAAAGCCCTGACCTTCGGCTGAAGGACTTACCACATTCCTTACATCTATAGGATTTCTCCACAATGTGGGTTCTTAGATGCTTATACAGGGATGTACTGAGAGTGAAGGCTTTCCCACATTCTTTACATATGTAAGGTTTCTCTCCGGTATGAGTTATTTGATGTTGAATAAGAGCTGAACTTTGGCTAAAGGCTTTGGAACATTCTTTACATTTAAATAATTTCTCTCCACTATGATTTTTCTCATGTTTACGAAGGGATGAAGTATTAATGAAGGTCTTCTCACACATACTACATTGATAGCGTTTATCTGCTGTCATTTTTGGCTGATTAGGTAAATTTGAATTATGTTTCAAAGTGTTTCCTTTTTTTTCACATTTTGGTGGTGGTTTCTCTCTGGGAACTATCTGTTGCCTAACAACTACTGACTTTGGGTTGAAGTTCTGGCTAAATTCAACATTTTTATGGCTTCTTTCTACAATTAAGGTTTTTTTGTGGGTGACTGAAACTATCTGAAAAATTTCCTTTTTATCCTGTTTTTCCTCTAATTTGCCTTCATATATGCAAGATTTTTCTGATTTCAAGTCCAAGGGTCCAAGTCCATTCCTTCTGGATCTGTTCATTATCAATCTCTGAAATGAAGAGTCTTGTGTTTGAGTTGACTTTGTGGTCTTATGATGGCTCTTCCATGCTGGAGGGGGAAAAAAAAAGAAATTGAAGGTGACTCATGTAATATCACAGAAGTTAGCTCTTTGGATCAAATGTGGAACCAATATATATTGATGTTATTAAAGAAGCTCCTGGTATCTGGCAAAAAATATAGGAAGAGAAAAAAATAGGAGAGTTAGGCAGTATAGGAAAAAAAAATCAATGGAGTAGAAGTACAAGGTGTGAAAAAAATGAATAAAATGAACCCATTTAAAGAGAGTGAGACAGAAGATATCAAAAGGAGAACATGAGTTAGGAAGTGCAGTCTAGGATCAGAATCCAAAGTGCATGAAGAACTCCTAAAGTATCATCTCAACATTCCTTTTCTTTGTGTAAGTATTCCTGATCTGTAAAGTTTTCTTTCTTTTGTTTTATGCCCAAATTCCTTTGTATCCTTCAGATTGAATTCAAAAGCTAATTCTATGAGTCCTAGCTTGACTCTGAACTTTCATATTCTGTTCCCCTTATCCTAGCACTTACCAGAGTGTTTATACACATACATACCCACATATATATACATATATATACACACACAAATACATACACATACACTATATACACATTGTATGTATATACATACATATTGTATTATGTATCTTTCTATATTTCTCTCCTTATAGATCACTTTACTTTTCTAAGTGTTCTTCATAAGCAGATCAGCACATCCTATCTTCCTATAGATCCTCTTGATAGCAACCCAATTCTGCACAAAACTTGTTTTATTAATCTTTCTTAATTATTTACATATTCCTAGTTTATAGAATGTTAGATATTTGTATATGCTAATTTCATATATTATACATTCACATACAAATATTTTAAGCCCCTTGTAGAAACTGCTTTTCAGGACAGCACATGGGTGGTCAGGGAGGGCCAGTTCGCACAGCATTACCGAGTTAATTTACAGAGGTGCCACAATGTAGGCGTGAGGCCAAGGGTTGTGAGCTGGAAAGGCAGCTCATGCATCAAGCCAGAAAAGCTATGCAGGGAGGGTTGAAAAGAGTCCAAGATCAACAGCAGGCAAGAATATAAAAATGTAAAGCAGGGAGAACATGAAAAATGGCAAAGACCAGAATTTAATAAATATTTCAATTGGTAAAAATACAATTCAGTAAATATTAAATTTTGTCAGAAAAATGGTTGTGCTTGTAGTTTGTCATTTTTCCCTGGGCTAGATATTGTTTGAAGGGATTCTTGCTGCTTCTTCTCTTTTTTTGGAAGTGGAGGTACCAGGGATTGAACTCAGGGGCACTTGACCATTGAGCCCCAGCCCCAGCCCTATTTTTTGTATTTATTTAGAGAAAGGGTCTCACTGAGTTGCTCAGCACCTTGCTTTTGCTGAGGCTAGCTTTGAACTTGTGATCCTCCTGACTCAGCCTCCCAAGCCGCTGGGATTACAGGCATGTGCTACCATACCTGGCTGATTCTTGCTTCTTACTATGTTTGAGATTCCTATTTGACATTTGCGTTCTCATTTTTCTCACATTCACACATTTTTTTTCTGTTTAGTGAACATTATATATTTTACTTTTCTCTTTCTCAGTTTTCTTCATGAATAACTCTTCTTCTCTTCCCTCTTTAAAATAGTATTCCTAAAGGTATTGAATTCTTCTCATATAGCACATCCCCCTTGATTGGTTTTATATTCACCCACACCCATACTTTTGGTGCTTATTATAAGGGAAAGAGAATTTTTAAATTCTCTGCTTAATGTTTTCCTAGTTCCTATCGACCTAAGATATACTAAATTAAACAATCAGATTTTAATTCCTTATCTGGGCCTAGAGTATTGGGAACACTTTCCCCTGTGTTTATTGGCATTGTTTATAGATTTGTACATGTGCTGGGAAGAAAGCAGTAAGATTTTGCACTCTGGATTCTAGCTCATAAGGTAACAGCAAAAACTCTGCCTTATGACTTAGTAGGCACTGAAGGGAGACAATGAAATAGTCAGTTGTATAGATTATTCTGGAGAGCTGGGAAATGGTCAGAACTGAAGATATGCATGTAGGAGATATCAGCATACAGATTTTATTTAAAGACAAAGAATGGAGAGAAATTACTTGATTATTGCAACATTCAGAAGTTAAGAAAAAAATCAGGACAGTATGATGTTCCAGAAGCCAAAGAGAATAAAAAGTACTCCAGGAAGGAGTGAATGATCAATTGCGGCAAATACCTTCAGGACTAAAAACCCTGATTGTGGGCAAGATGGAGGCCGTGTAGAGCTTAGTACAGTGCTTTTAGTGAAATAGTAAGGAACAAGGTCCTACTGGAGTATACAGAGGAAACAATGTCAAGTGAGAAAGCAAAAACATCAAATGGAAAATGTTTTTTTTTTTTTACCATAAGATTTATTTATATTTTTTTTAGTCATACATGACAGCAGAATGTATTTTGACATATAATACATACATGGAATGTACATACATCAATCATATTGTCTATTCTATTCTGCTGCCCTTCCTATCCTCCCTACTCCTCCCCTTCTCTCCCATCCTTTCTCTCTATCCAATCTAATGTGACACACTTTTTTTTCTTTTTCTCATCACAACATCATATATGTATTCTGTATAACAATGAGGTTCTCCTTCCATCTTCCGTGCAACTCCCCTTCTCCCTTTTTCCCTCCCACCTCTCTTCCCTATTCAGTGGTAGTCTTCTTCTCATGCTCTTCCTCCCTATCCCATTTTGAGTCACTCCCCTTATATCAGAGAAGATATTCGGCATTTGTTTTTTAGGGATTGGATAACTTCACTTAGCATAATCTGCTCTAATGCCATCCATTTGCCTGCAAATACATGATCTTGTTATTTTTTTAGTGCTGAGTAATATTCCATTGTGTATAAATGCCACATTTTTTTAATCCATTCATCTATTGAAGGGCATCTAGGTTGGTTCCACATTCTAGCTATTGTGTATTGTGCTGCTATAAACATTGATGTCGCTGTGTCCCTGTAGTTTGCTCTTTTTAGGTCTTTTGGGTATAGTCCGAGAAGGGGAATAGCTGGGTCAAATGGTGGTTCCATTCCCAGCTTGGAAAATGTTTTTGAAAGTTTGGTTTAGAGGAGAATAAGGAAAATGAGACATGGACATTTTTATTTATAATGAAAGTAATTATTGCTACAAGAGTCCATATCAATTGTGGTAAACTCATCCTAGCACTAAAGTGCCAATGCCTTAGTCTCATATTTTCCACTGAAACAGATATGAGTCTTAGTTGAGGACATCCTAACTTCTTCATGATCCACTCAGAATTTGCTACAGCTCTACAAGTATGTCTCCTAAGGTGCAGTTCAACTTCTGTTCCAAGAATCAAGCACAGGCCTGAGCTAACTCATGAATAAGGTTAAAACTTAGGCTAGAAGTTTAGAACTCAGAATGATCTTGCTAATGACCACCGCCATGATGAGTTCCTGTCACTAGGTCTAGATTATCCTCCCAGGGCTCTTCCTATATTGAGAGTGTCTCTTCAATCTTCTCTCCATCCCCACACCTCCTATGTGAAGGACAACCCTGAATTTTCTCTTTCTAGCCTGCCACTGACACTGAACTGTTTCTTAACTGTAGTTAAACATGTTAATAGTTTTGAGAAAGTTCAGGTAAATTTCAGGTAGACACAGGACATTTTTGCTTAGTATATACTCCCTTTCCTCAGGGTATGGGCATCTTTCTGCCTTGCTGCCACCCAAAGCACACTTCTGTTTGTAAGTCCTTAATAAATTGCACTTGGTGCAATCCTGTATCAGTCTGGCTTGTTCTTTCATCTTTCAGCACCTTCCATCTTGGCAGCTGGTTCTTGAACATTGGGTTTTACCAAAACAATTCCTTTTCAAAGCTTTTTTTCCCTACGTTTCCCCGTTCAAAATGACATCATAACTATTTCAATGATTTTTTTTCTATAAATTTTGGTTTCATCTTGAAATCTTCTTTCCCCTGCATTTCAAGTCTAGGCAGTCACCAAGTTCTCTTAAATCCATTAGGTGAAAGGCCTCCAACAGCCATCACTGATCCACCCAAGATCAGAATTTTCTTACTCTACAGTGACTATTGCTTCTGACCTTCAGTTTGTTCCTTTGACCCCAGTATCTCACCTTTCTAGTATTATTTCCCACTGGATTTACTTTCTTAATACAGAAAGCTCCTCTTGCTATTTCAAAGAGTATTCATATCCTCCTTACTTTATCCATTTATCAAATAGTTAAAAGATACCTAGTATGTGTTAGGCTATAACCTAGGTACTGGTAATCTACAGTATACTACAGATCCTGTAGTGAAAAGAAACCGTTAATTTCTTCAAAGAGTTTATAGTTTGGCATAGAAATGAAAAAATGAATAGACAATTACAACATAATGTGATCATTTCTACAACAAACACGCAAGGTAGAAATGGATGCAAACATGAGCTTAGACCACCATCAAAACTATCCTTAGATAGAGGTGGGTGCAGGTAGGCAAGGGATGCAGATACTGTTTAGAGTTTTCTGATATCTAAGATGAGACTTTAAAGGACCAGTCATAGGATAGATGGGGGGTGAAGTCATCATTAGTCTTTGAACCCAAGTCAACCTTCCAGATTTATTTCCTGAAGTGTGCTTCCCCACCTTATTCTTCAGCTAGATTCATAAAATGATCCAAGTCATTTTTATAAAAATGTTGCTTATATTTGCAGTCTCACAAAGTTTCTAGAATTAGAGAATGAGGGAGCTATATGCAGGGAATTATATATATCACCATGATAGAGGGTAGAATGGCACATTTGTAAACACCCTCCAGATGTTTATGTTTCCGGAAAAGAGAAACATTCTAGAAATTGTATGGTTGGTAACTAATTTAAAAAAATTTTAATTGTGGAAATTTTGCAGCAATATAAAAGAGCAAATTGTACAATGAATCTTCAAACAAGTTTCAACCACCACTAATACTGTTCCATCTATATATTATAATGGGTTGATTTGTCACATCCCCCAAATATGTTACAGT